GCCGCGTCGTCTTACCGCCGCATTTCTCACAGATACTCATACGAGAGTCGCGAATGCCTTTCGCGAATATGCGAGCTCATAGTACGCCATGCGGAAAGACGCCCGTATACCCGCCGCCGTCGTCCTCATCGTCGTCGTCGTCGTCGTCGTCGTCGTCGTTTCGATGTCACGTCGTCGGCTCCATCGTCGACGTCGTCGTCGCATTGACGGAACGACGCGTCGCCCGCGTGCGCGGGATGCACGCAGTCGTAATTAATCAACCCGTGTCGCTTCGCCGTAATTCGCAAGGTTTTTGAACGGAGAGGAGAGAGAGAGAGAGCGAAGTCTGCGTGGAATGACAGAGGGCGAAAGAAAGGGAAACATGGATAGACGGAGATCAGCGCGCGTCTCCGGTTTATCAGTCACCGTACGTGCATAATTTTGTGTCCGTCGACGACAGTCATCCCTCTTTCTCTCTGCCAACACCGTATTTCTCTCCAAAAAAAAAAAAAAAGAAAGAAAACCCCCCGCGGCGAGCGCGGAATTTTTTCACGTATTCCCGCGTAATTTTGTACAATGTTCTCTATATTGTCACTCTGGAAAATTTCTCGCGAAAGTGCGCAAAAAACGCCCAGATACGCGGGCGTGTCTCGTGCGTGCCGCTAATTCGTTAATAAATGAGTATGAACTAAGAGTGTCACGCGGTTTACTCTCATGTGGCTGTCATGGGCTTAGAGTGCAACTGCCGGCGCTATTCATTTAATGATTAACTCGATGACTGGCATGGCTGAGTATTCCGTGTCATTATCATTTTCATGTATCAATAATTAACTGAATGCAAATGTTACGCATGTGTTTAGTATGACGATTAATGATCGAGCGGATGTGGAAGCCCACTAGAATACTATATGTATGTACAGTTTGTTGTTTAATCTTATTCGCTTAAAAATGTGTGAAGGAAAAAGGAGAGACGAGAAAAAGAGAAAAAGAAAGAGAAAGAAAGCATCATTTATTCAGCGCTCTGGGGTATATTAAATTCCCTCAAGCACAAGAGAGTGAAAGAAAGAAAGTGGACAACTAAATGATTAGTGCATGATAAGTAAGAAGACTTAATTTCAACTTTTGCTCTCACTTCTTACTCATGAAATTTGGATATTCAAGTAGCCGCGGTGATCAAATTAGACATGGTTGTGGAAGAGAGCGATCTCTTTAGGGCTCCTCGCGCATTTTACATGTTGCCCGTACGAAATGTTTCTTAAGCAATATTCCAGTGCCTCGCGTACGCGATCGCGTTCCTATATCCCAGCGGGAGCATTTTCACCTGGATGTACGCTCGTAATCTGCCAAGTGGAAAAAGGCCATCGTAAAATTCACAGGAAAAATTCTCGCGCTTGTCGCGAGACGGGCGAAAAAATTCAAGTAACTTCAGCTCGAGGCGAGCTGCCTCGTATCGTCTCCCGCTGCGCGCGCGCGCGGCGGCATAATATCTATTACCGCTTTGCTTGTACATATTATATTACGCGATATAATTGAGCCCACCTTGCCCGATTTTATCCGCTAATTTATCGAATAAACGTCTAATATTACGCGCCGCAGACAATTTGGATTTAATTGCCAATTGTTCGCCGCGCGTCAGCACGGTAGTTAATCATACTAATAGCGCTATTTAAAGGCCACAATCTCTCCCTTGCGGATCTCTATGTCTTTCTTAAACATTTGTTTACCGTTCACGTTATAGCTTTCAACGAGCTTTATATTACTTATGTAAGAATTTGCCTTTATTGCCCACAATAGACTGGTTCGAGACTATTTAACCCCAGCTCATTGTCAAGCCGTCAATAGTCTCGAGTGAATTGTTATTTGCGAATTGTTAGAGCTCGAACCGTCAATCGCGCTGACGCGCAAGCGTCATTAGAGGGGTCGGCCCGCGTGTTCGCCATGCGAAGCGAACACGCGGCGCACGTTGTGTGCAGGTGCCGCCGTCACTGGTGATTTTCCAGTCACGGTCAGGAGACGTGGCATACAAATACTTGAAATCATGACGTCGTCTCGTCGCTTTAATGACAATTTTACACGAAGCCGTCAGCGAGAGAGAGAGAGACACACAGAAAAAGAGAGAGAGAAGGTCAAATGGCAAACTACCCTCTAATCTTTCCTTCATAGGCAAGTGTCCGTTATTATTATCGTATCATTATTTGACTTATATGAGTATCTTTCATGTACATTCCGCTTTTCAACGGACCACTTTGTGTAGACCTATATAGTCTATATACATACGTCCATACGTATACCTTAAGCGAAGAAACGACTACATATGTATGTACGGCTTTTCGAGAATTCCGTTCCCCGGGTTAAAATCCTTTTAGGACGGCCGGAAGTTAAACGCGTGATCATCATCGGGACCGATCGAGTTCGAGAAACGACGATCGTCTTCGGACGATGGCCGATTTCGCGCGATAGCCAATACTGCTAGAGAAGGACTAGATTTCCGGAGGCGACCGATATAACGTGCAAGTTCCGTGCTTTTCTATCGCCCGGAATCGCGCCCGCGCAGCCTGCTGACGATGATTGGTTCGACAATACCCGACAGTTCACGCGTATACGAGCGGGAATCAAATCGCGCGACTGAGATTCAACCCCAGTTGTTCGTTCCACTCACAATCCCGTATGTGGTGAACGAGATGCGAGCGTGTGTTGCAAAATGCGTTTCAAGAAGAAAAAGCAAGACAAGCGCGTGAATATCGTACACTCTAAATTATATTTTATTTTCATACCGCTATACGTATACGCTTTTTAGATACCCTCTTAAATTGTTTCAACTTCGTTGATTATTTACTCGGATATTTATAACTTTTTCTTGATTCTACGCAATTGTTATTTTCTGTTAATAAACGTTTCTCTATTTTTCATTGTTTACAATTACAATGAAATTTTGCTTCAGCCATATTCTCTCTCTCTCTCTCTCTCTCTCGCTCTCTCTCGACGCGCACATATACCGAGCGTTCATGCCCGCCATTAATCACGATGCTCGATGCATACAGTTATGCATTTTTATCTCAAATATTTGTGATGCCGCGCATAACGTCATGATTAATTAATTACACGGAGTTCAAACAATGGCGGAGGTAACGGGCGTATCTTGCGCGCTGAGCGAAGCGTTTATAACCAGCACACCGATATATATTTCTGCATTTTTGTTACGTGTCCTAGCCAAAAAGCACCTCTCTCTCGCTCTCTTTTCCGAGTGTTCGGAATTAGCTTTTACACGCAATGGTGCAGCCGCGAAAGCCGCGGTATACCACGCACCGGATTATATTAATTAATACAAACACGGTCAAACACTGCTACGTCGTACTATTGCAAACAAAATCCTTTCGGGTGGAAAAAAAATATTATATGATAAAAATACATACACGATGTTCTCCAAGTTCGTCGTCAAACGTCATCATCTCGATCGCGATAGGTTGTTTCAGAAAGAATTCTTATCGTAATAATAATTGTTTTTTTTTTTTAATATTAAAGAGTTTCGTCGGGGATTATGATTTCGTCCCATTAAAATTTTACCGAGTGAAAATTGCGCCCCTCCGAGTAAATTAAAAAAAATCGCAATTAAAAGATATACAAGTAGACGTTCAGTAGGATACGGCGGAAATGCGCAAACAGCGTGCCGCACGTTTTTTCTACTCGGCAGAGGGATTCTAAAATGATGATAAAAAAGGGAGTAACGGAGTCTCGAATGGTGGTATGAATACGTGTACGTTAAAACCGCTGAAAAAGAGAATCATTATTCGACCAGTATTTCAATTTATCCTGAACGAAACTGATATCACCCCGCTGGCCCTTCCCGGCATAATTTTTCGTCGCGCCAAATCGCCTGTTTTCCTCTTTTTTCCGTCGTCGATACATTGAAACGGCAAAAATATCAGTCCTTTTTTCATCGTGGCTCGTACGCGAGCGAGAGAGCTCTGTTATAGCACACGTTAACAACCTCAACCTGGCCCGGCTTTTTCTTCTCACCCTCTCTCTTTCTCCCTTTCTCACCGCGCGCGTCCCTCTTTCGCCCCTTGCGAAAATGTCCGTTCACCACTCGCTATCTCTTCTCTCTTTTACTCCGTACCATATCGTCTCCCCCGTCTGACCCCGTCCTCCCCTCGTCGTCTCCCCCGTCGATTTCAGCACATAGATTACGACCATCGGCACGCGCGTATGGCGTGCGCCCATAAAAACCGGCCATGTATAAAACCGTCGTGTTCCCGCATGCTCGACGAGCGAGCATTTTCGTCGGGCCACCCCTTCCTCCCGCGCCCCGCGCCGTTCTTTTTCTACACGAGGTCCATCCCGTGTCGCCCGTCAACGCCGCGCGGAGAAAGGCACGCCGGAGAACAAGAAACATAAAGAATGATGGGCCAGCTCTTACTTACGTTTCCGGACCCGGGCGCAGAGTTTACACGCGAATTTCAAGTTAGCTTCAATAGACCATACACGTTGACGGACAAACAATTTTCTCAAGGCGCATTGGAGTTTAAAAGAAATGTTTAAAGAACGTTTTAATTATCATATTCATATTTTTTTATAACATTTATTAATATTAAATGTTTATTAATTTTACCCTCCCTATCTACCTCTCACTTCAATTTTCATGTAATAACAATTATGATTGAGAATACTCAAAAATCTTTTAAAAAGCAACATTCTCTCTCTCTCTCTCTCTCTCTCTCTCTTAATCGAAGATTCAAATTGAGGGTCTCTTAATCAGAGAAATAATCATTGACCATACGAACGTGTTCAATGATCATTAAACTATTAACGATCATTAATATCCTGTTGAATCAATATCCTAAACCGCCGTAAATTGCCGGAACACATTTTCGGGTTAGTTAGAATTATATACGAATTACGAGGAGCTTTTGCTTCTTCATAGAAAATTTCTTCCCCTTTCACGTGCAGAAGATGGAAAACTACTTCGAGGGGGATAAACTTTCGGTAGTGCTATAACGCTAACGTGTGGCGTGTGGGCTTACCGTTGATGACAGCGATGATGCCGAGGACGCACAGTAGCAACGATCTCGAGCACATCTTTACGCTCCTTCTCTTTCCGTCACCCTCGACGAAGGAAAAGCGAAGGGGAAAAACAGGCACGCGCGATCCTTACGTGGCTTTATCGAACATCGCTCGTCCGCGTCCCTATTTAATGCGTGGGAGGATCAGGACGCCTCGTCTGATCAGCCGAATCTGATCAATCAGTCGATAAGAAGCACGGAGACGTTTCTCGAGGATACGGCACCGGTCGTCATTGCTGAATGATGCCAAAAATATCTTGAGTTAGCATCGAAGTGGGATCGATCTCACTCCTCGTTCTCCCTGTCTCTCCTTCTCCTTCTCCTCCTTCTCCTCCTCTTCCACGTCCTCGTCCTCCGGCGACAACGATGATAACGTCTCAATTAGCAGATATTCACGATCACGCGGGATCGTCGGGCGAAAGAGTGAGTTACGACTGCGAGATAGCCGAGTGCTAATTAGGGCCGATCGCATTAATCGCTTCTTAACCACCGCGGCACCCGGAAGTACCTCGATCGAAATCCTATCTCGCCTGTCTAACTTGCCTGTCGTAATAACCCCGAGGCTCGAGCTTCCGAGCTTCCTCCTCCTTCTCGTTCTTCGTCTTCGATGCTTCCTCTGATGTCTTTCTACTCCTCTCCGTTCGCTCTCTCTCTTCTTTCTTCACCTTCTCCTTTTCCGACTGCTACTGCTGCTGCTGCCGCCGCTGCTGCTGCTGCCGCTGCTCCTGCTGTTGCTCCTACTGCTTCGTCTTCGCTTTCTTTCCTCTAGCCCTGGGACATAATACCCTCCCCGCCGCGAACCCTTCCGTCTACTTGTTTGTTCTAGATGACGTCAGCTCGCCGAAAGCTACCTCGCAATTCCTCACGGACTAGCTTCCCCCGATCCGGGATCCTCTCAGCGTAAGTTAGTGAAGTAAGTTGAAGTGCCCCTTAGCGCAACTAGACCTCCTCCTATTCATCGAATATAGTCGAACTTTTATCTTTGATCAAAGCATCCTGTTCGACGCAAAGGGGATGCGAGGCTTCAACTTAATTGTCTCCCTTTTTTTCTTTCTCAAATAAAAAAAAAAAGCTAACGACTTTCGTCTGGAATTTAATGGAGTAATCCCTTTTTGTCCCTCTGCGAAAGTAAATTTCCAGAGAATCGCCAAGTGTGATCTCGCTGTGACGCGAGTTAATCGCGTAAGTTCGCGGAAACAAACGTCGACGGGAATATCACGATTCGCCGGCGCGCTCGCGACTTTTCTTCGCGGAACTTTCCCCCGCACGAAGTTTCGGAACTTGCGGAAACAGCGAACCAGTCTCGTCGCCGGGGGGATGGGGGGCAAGTTGCCTGGGGGTGCGAGGTTTTATATTTTACCTATATCAACGCGTGACAACCGCGAGACGCTCCCGGCCACGGCGAGCTCGCGGCGCTTACTGAGCTTGCGGGAAAGCTCCTCGAGGAGCGTCCGCGAGATGAGAGCACGTTTCTCATCCCCACTTGGTGAACCCGCGATTACGTTGCGCGCCGTGCGCGCTGATTGGCCGGGCATGCGCCCGAAAGCTCGTCGAGTAACGTGCGTGCCCCCTCTGGCACGGAGGGAGAAAGAAAAAGAGGGAATGAGAGAGAGAGAGAGAGAGAGGGAGAGAGAGGGGGAGGGAGAGAACGCGAAGGGCGGAGAGAAGAGGGGGAGGGTTGGGATGAGGGAGACAGAGTAAAGGGGGCAACGAAAGCTCTGCGATGCTTTTGGAGTACCGACTGCCGAGTAGTGTTGAAACGCTGTTGAAACCGCCGGTAGTGGGGCGACAACGCGACCGGGAAGGAAGGAGAAAGGGTGACGCGGGTGGCGCGATGCAGAAAGGACACCGGGTACATCGCGCGCTTCGCGCCACTACCCGCGCTCGCACACGCGTCGAGCTTGCGGCAAAAGTTATGACCTCAAAGGGGTCGTTAACGAGCGCCCGCCAAATTAGTATAACGGCTCGCCCTCCGGTCTATCCTCTCCACCAACTACCCCCGCCCTCCCCC